AAGTTATTTTCCTCTTAAGAAAGCATGCAGTATTGAGTTGCAATGTCTGTGACTTACACTGCCTGTGATTTTTTTTTCCCCAGTCTACCTGTTTATTTCTAATCATATTTTGGAGTAGCTGGAAGCATTGACTGACAGATAAACTCTAATTATGATTGTCTTACAGATGGATCAGATGGATCACAAACAAACAAACAAAAATCTTTAACTCTGTAATTGCTTATTGGAGTATTAAAAATCTAAATCTACACCTTTTATAGGCACTCAGGGGAGGAATGCTGAGACCCATTTATGCAACATAATAGCATTTCCCTGAAAGCATCATTTTGGTACTTCATTAGAAACCAAAATGGCAAATTGTATGTCAGGAATTATTAGGGAAGGGACCAAGAAGAAAACAACTTTAAATTCATGTTATCCAGGTGAGTAGCATACCTGCAGCTGATACACTGGCCAGCCAGTTTCAGGAAGGATGTCAGGGACTATAAGAGGTATGGAAAAGGACATCTGAGGCTTAGGTGTGCTGGGTGCCCTCAGCCACACAGATCCCTGCTGCACAGAGCTCTTGGGGCACTCAGGGCTCCCTCCCTTCCCATATGGCTTTCCCTGCTGTGCACTGGGATGTGGCACAGGTGATGTGGATCAGGACACACTGCAAAGGAGTGCTTCAATGTGAACAAAATGCATCAGCTAGAAGGAAAAATGAAGGAGGATGATAGACATCTTCGTAGTCATGGATGTTATTCAGAGAGTCAGTAGAGCATGGTTATTCATCATCTTTTATAAAATTAGACATAGGAGACAAACAAAGAAATTAACAGGCAGCAAATTGAAAACAAACTTGATGAAACATATTTTTATAAATAATGTATTTTTAAATAATATATTGCTCAGTTCTAGACCCTGCTAGACAAAATAAGAAATTAAATGTTACTGGTTTTGAGAAAGGGACTAGAAAAATTCCTGAAGAGTGGGCCTGCTGACAGCTGTTAAACATTAAGATCCAGATGGAAATTTTGGCTCAGAAAATTTCTGACCTCTAAAATGTAGAAGTGATGAATTATGGCCAAAGTCCTTCTGTGTGTACCCTGACTTTCTTGAAGTACTGGTAGAAATAGAATATAGGAAAGGCAGACTTAACAACAGCGGTCCATTTTGCTCCTTAAACTTGCTTACTGAAAATGGAAACCCCTGAAAAAAAAAAAATGAAATGCAATTTTCCTTTTTGCTGTAAGTGACAAAGCTATCAACCAGGCAACTTGTCTGTAATATTCACATGGGCACAGGAGAAGCACAGTAGCAAGAAAAAGACTGTAATTTTTATTCTTTGGGCTTTTTTCACAAAAAGGTTTTCAAGGATAAACCAAAATCATTGTATTTCACAATTGCCTCTGGTGGTTCAGGATTTGTTTGGGTTGTTTTTTCACATTCAGAATCTCATTAACTAACCTGAAAAATCACGAGCATTAATTTTCAGGAATGCTCAAGGCCTGCAAGCTTTGCCAGATCAGAGCTCAGCCTTTCTGCTACTTCCAAATCACCAGTGAACTTTCCTCAAGGGTTACTGCGCTGAAACTAATAAAACACCCAGCACCATTCTGTTGGGTAACAAGTCATCAGACAGGCAGGTGACTCAATTCCCTTCCTGCAGGATGCTCAGGTGTGCTGGTGCAGAGCAGATGGAATTGTTTTGCCTTCATAGCTTACAAACAGGAGACAGCTTATCAGTGGCAGATGTTATTGAGGTTGAGTCTTGCAAAGCAATTAAGAGATGTCACCACCCAAGGCTGACTCAGAGAGCTGCAATAGAACATTTCTACATCTGCCCTGCAGTGGGGGGTGGTGGCACATGTCAAATGTAATCAGCCCTCGGGGAAAGTCCCTTCCAACTCAGAATATTCTGTGATTCTCTGTAAGTGCCCTTAAATTTACCCTTTAGTGACAGCACCAGCAGCACTGCTGCAGCATGAGCTGCTCTCTTTCAAATCTAATTCATGTGTGAGATCAGTGTTCCAGAGCACTCCTTCTCCCCAAGCAGAATAGTGCTTTTAGCTCTTTCTTCATAGTTCAGCTGGTTCTCAGACAGCCAAGTTCCATCCACTTGTATCCTATGCTGTATTAATGAAACGTGTATGATCTGCTGCCCTCTATCCCAACAGGGCTCCTTCCTACTGGGATTACATTCTACATACTCCCCAGAGAGCTTCAGGGACATCAGAGTGTACAGCTAATGAATATTTACAGAGAAGTTTTTTTAAAGAGAAAGGAAAGACAATGAGTTTCCAATAAAAATTGTCTGCTGAACATCCTTAAGGATACATTTGCAAATATGTGCAGAAAAATCCAGAGTAGAAACCTTTACAGCTAAAGAAAGCATGGCAGGAGTCAGACTTTGGAGCTCAGGAGGGATTTTTGTGAATTACTGTGAGTTAGAACCATAGCTTCCAATCCACAGACCACAGGGATGGGCTGATCAGCTCCACAGACAAAAAAAAAAAAATCACATTAACCTGTGTCAGTTCAGTGTGGTTGTACCTGCAAACTGTCAGCAGCTCAGCAAATGGTGGAAACATCATTTTGGTGTTTGAACAACGCTCTCAAGCACATGGTGGGATTTTTGGGGTTGCCCTATGCAGAGCCAGGAAGTGGACTCGATGATCCTTGTGGGTCCCTTCCAACCCAAGATATTCTGTGATTCTAAAATGTAGTTAGACACTGTACTCAGTACTGGTCTTGGTGTCTCAATAGTTTTGGAAGAATTTGAGAAATGAAACCAGGGTTAGTCCGTTACGTATTGTGGCCCATTTTCAACACATAGATCTATATTGTATGTCTTGCATATTGCACTTTCATATAAATGATTGCCATTCTAAATCTTGTGCTAGTATTGAAATCATACACAAAAACTTTTATGAGTTTCCGAATGAGAGAAAACATTTTAAAAATATTGATTCTGTCACTATTTGGGGGGGAGTTATTTATTGCTTGGGGTTTTTGGTGTTTGGTTTTTTGTCAGTGTTTTGTTTGGTTGTTTTTTTTTTTTTCAGAAAGAAATGTACATCTGTTCATGTAACTTGTTCTTGACCAGATTAGAACAAAGAAACCAAGAGTGTTCACAAGTCCTTTGGACTCAGTAGATTGTAAATTTATTCGTGGAAAAATCACTCCTGTACTTGGTTGTGATTCTTTCCAGAGTCCTAGAGTCCATACAGGGGCAGTTTTGGATTCAGAGACCTCTCTGGAAGAACTGCAACTGCCCTGTCTGATTATGTTCTTCAAATGACACAAAACATTGCACCAGAACATCACCCCCAGTTTTAAACTTGTTCGCCCTGAGGAAAACAATGTATTTTCAAAATATACGCAGTAACCAGTCCAACTGCTACTTGGGACGGTGCCTGAGGCTTTTAACCTCTGAAACCACACCTACAGAGTTTATTTATAAACGGCAAATTCATTACAATAATCCCCTGTCACAGCAGAAAGTCTCCGGGGACTCTGGATTTAGCTGAACCTGGCCACCAGACCCCAAAAACTCACTGTGCCCACAGTGGTGCACCCACGCCTGCTCTTGGCTGCTCTGAGGGGCCCCCTGGAGTCACTCTGCCAGACAGGGGGGCTCCAGCCTCCTCAGTAATTTTTTTTTTAAGTGAATTCTTGTGCTTTTGCACATTTTTTTTAGTTCCACAGCAGGGGTTGAGGTTGCAGGAAGAGCTCGGTGAGCAGAGCATAACCTGCAGAGGGAAGGCGAGGCAAAAAGCACTGACGGGCAACGAGGTTCATTAACGATTTGGACACAGGACTTAAAGAGATACTAAGTAAGTTTGCAGATGATACAAAATTGGGAGGAGCTGTAGAGTTCCTGGAGGGCAGAGAGGCCTTGCAGAGAGACCTCGAGGAATTAGAGGACTGGGCAATCACCAAACGTGTGAAGTTTAACAAGGATAGATGCTGGATTCTGCACCTGGGACACGGCAACCCTGGATGTACGGATAGATGAGGAAAGGGACCTGGGGGAGTCCTGGTCGATGGCAAGTTGAATATGAGTCAGCAGTGCCCTGGCAGCCAGGAGGGCCAACCCTGTCCTGGGGGGCATCAGGCAAAGCATCACCAGCTGGGTGAGGAAGGGGATTGTCCTGCTCTGCTCTGCAGTGGGGCAGCCTCAACTTGAATATTGTGGCAGTTCTGGGTACCACAAATATAAGAAAGACATTAAGCTATCAGAGAGTGTCCAAAGGGCAAGAAGATCGTGAAGGGCCTTGAGGGGAAGATGTGTGAGGAGCAGCTGAGGTCACTTGGTCTGTTCAGCCTGGAGGAGACTATGAGGAGACCTCATTGCAGTTACAACTTCCTAGTTAGGGGAAGAGCAGGAGCAGGCACGGATCTCTTCTCTGTCGTGACCGGTGACAGGACCCGAAGGAATGGCCTGAAGTTGTGTCAGGAGAAGTTTAGGTTGGACGTTAGGAAAAGGCTCTTCACCCAGACGGTGATTGGGCGCTGGAACAGGCTCCCCAGGACAGCGATCAAAGCACCAAGCCCGACAGAGTTCAAACAGCATTTGGACAACGCTCTCAGACACATGGTTTGATTCTTGGGGTGTCCTGCGCAGAGCTCAAGGGTTGGACCGGATCATTCTAGTGGATCCTTTCCAACTCAGACTATCCCGTGATTCTGTAAGTCTGTGTTTACGGGCAAACCCGAGTCCCAAAGCTGGTTTCGCCCTTCCCCGCCGGGTCCCCCCGGTGCGGGCGCAGGGAGGTGACCGCCTGCGGGGCGGCCGGTGGCGGCGGGCGGGCCGGGCGGGCGCTCTGCCAACCCGGGCGGGCAGCCGGGCGCTCGGACGGGCGGGAAGCGACATCACAAGGACGAAGCCTTTCCCTTTCCTGCGGGAAGAACGGAGCGGTTACCGCGGCTCCCGAAGTGCCCGTCGGGGATGTTCGGCCCGGGCCCGGCGCGGCGGTGACGCGGCGGGGCGGCGCCGGGGCCGGGGGCCGGTCGGGCCATGCCGAAACGCTCCTGCCCCTTCGGGGAGGGCGGCCCCGCTCCAGCTGAAGACCCGCGTGGGGCTGCGGAGCTGAGCCGCGGCGTGCGGGGCGAGGAGTATCGGCGGGAGGTGTCGGTGAGCCGGGGGGCGGGATGCGGGGAGCGCCGGAGGGATGCGATGGGGAGGCCGACCCTGACTCTGCTCTCCTCCTCTCCCGCTGGCAGAGAGGACCCGGCGGCTGCTCTTCAGGGGGGCCCAGGCGTACATGGAAGGCGCCGGTCCCGCCGCCGCCCGCCCGCCGGAGCCGGAGCCGCCCGGGGATGCGCAGGGAGGGGGTCCCCGCTGGAACGGGCAGCTCCTCATCGGCCACGACGGGAAACTGCTGCGGCGGCCCGCGGAGAGGGGTAGGTGCCCGCTGGGCCCGGGGGAGGTCACAGAACCGCTGAATATACTGAGCTGGGAGGGACCCACGAGGATCAATGAAGTTTAGTTCCTGCCCTGCACAGGACAGCCCCAAGAATCACACCACGTGCCTGAGAGCGGTGTCCAAACGCTTCTTGAACTCTGTCAGGCTTGGTGCTGTGACCACTTCCTTGGGGAGCCTATTCCAGTGCCCGACCACCCTCTGGGTGAAGAACCTTTCCCCAGTATCGAACCTAAACCTCCCCTGACACAGCTCCATGCTCCTCTCGCCAGGAGGCTGTAGACTGCGATGAGTGGTTATAGACTGCATAGTTCTTCTTTATTGATTTTCCTCAAAGGAATTGTTAGATTTGAGCTTCGCTGACAGATTTGCGAGCTGTCACATGTATGGTCTGCGCTAGAATCCTTTAGTGGCTTGCCACTGAGCAGAGAAAGAACCAAGAAAGTCCCAAGCAGCGCTCGCTGTGGCGGTGCCTGCCCGTGTGTTCTGCGAAGTGCTGCCACCTGTAGCTGTGAGCGGAGGCTCCGCAGCTCTTGGGACTTCCAGGTGCTTTCTCTGTCGTGCTCTTAAAGTACGGTCACTTCTTAATCGTATCTTTTCCAAGCAGTTCCACCCGTGGGAGCTTCCAGAGCCTGCTCATCGTGTGTAAGAACCACTGATGTCAAGGAGGTGTGTACGCAGTGTGACCGGTTTGTTTGCCAGAGCTGCAGCAGGCTCTGCAGCTGCTGCAACAGGGTTGCCTGCTCTTTGTGCTCCACTATTGAGTAAGTGCCTTTCAAGTTTCTAAGCTTATTTTAATTATATATGCCCTAAAAATTGGACCCAACAGATATCTAGCTCATCCACGTAAAGGACTTAAACTCTTTTTAAACTTCAGCAGCAGTAAAACTGTCTGAAACATGCCAACCAAAATGCCTGTATGAAGCAGTATTATGAGTGCAAGTCTAGTTTAGCTTCTTATTTAAGTGCTGTAGGAGGCAAAAATTCCCCTTGCTTTCCCACCAGCAATGTAGTGTGTTGGCCAATGGTGAATGAATGCACTCCCAAGGAATAATCCTAAGTTTTTGCCCTCGTTGTTAACATTTCTGTGATATAAAGAAATACTGAATGTGCTGTGTGGGAGTCCCGTGGTTACAGTTGATAATAGAATAGAATGGCATTTATTGCTATGTTCCAGAAACAGTTGACACACTGACTTTGTTTCTTCTGGTTTTCTTTTTTTTTTTTTCCCCTAGTTATGCTGATGTGGGAGAGCAAGTTCTCTGCAACGGTTGTTCAATATTTCAAGTCTGAAACTTGATGAAATAACCCTTGTGGCTAAAATGTCCATGAATTTCATGAAGTCTTCTCCTTACAGCTGGTCAATTAATCCTTTTAGCATGTGAATTAGTTATGGAATTTCTATGTTTTATATTTTATATTGTACTTTTAAATATTGCAGCTAAATAAACATGTATATTTTAAAGCTTTCTAGATTATTTTGAGTTGGCTTTCTCCTTTTCCCTAGTTGTGGTATGCCTGGTGTTCCTGATGTGATACAGAATTCAGAATATTCTCTCCATATGTTGCTCATGTTAGGACACACTTTTGTGAGATCAGAATAGAAATAATTTGCTCCTTCTGTGTTTTCACGTGAGAGTGAATCCATTCTGGACACAACATTTTTTTTGTGAGCTAACTAGGAAAATCAACCAGGCCTGAAGGTTTTTCCAAATAGAGAATTTGCTGATTTCTGGTTAATTATTTTTTTAAGCTATCACAAACACTGTGATTACTGACAGCTTGAATAGTTTTAATCTTTCTATGGTAACTTTGATAGAAAAAGCAATAGTATACCAGGCTTGGAGCAGGAAAGCTTTTCTCAATAGTTAATTTTCCAGTACCCTCCTTGTAAGGCCTTTACTGGAAAGCAGCTTGCTTGTGAGTTGATCTACACTATAAACTTCATATTGTCCTGAATACCCACTCAAAAATAGCTCAGGAAGTGGTCTGAGAAATGGTCAACACTCAAGTGTACCTTTCCATAAACCAGCTCATTCCTTGTTTTCCTTTCACATCACTGCAGAGACCAGTTTGCTTGGTATTGTTTGTGCTGTAGGAGTGAAGTACTACTGGATAGCCTCTCAAAGTAGTTTTCTTTTACTGGTTTTGCTATGTTTCTTAAAAAAATGCTTTTCATCTTACACACCAACTATACATAAGACAAAACTACAGTGGTCTTTACCTCAGGAAAATGCTGACTTAAGTGGCTGATTCAGGACTGTAGGATAAAAGGAATAGATTTGACAGAAAAAAAGAAATTCTCCTGACACTCACAGCTAATGGTCTGTTTCTCGAATTCTTTGCCTGGAACTCCCAAAGCAAAGTCACCCACTCATGATTCCCAATCTTCTCAACTGTGATTAGTATGTTTTGGGTGGAGTAACCTTTTTTTTACCTGATCCTCTCCTTTCTGTTTGAAGAGACTTCTCCCTCACGGGGACCCTTTATTTGACAGTCTGTTGAAAGCATTCTGGGTATTTACCTGTCAGAATACTGCAGCTGCCCAAAGGACAGTAAATGCTTTAGCAAAGCGTGGGTGTGGCTGTTGCTGAATAGCTGCACTTCTTAGCTGCACATCACGTGGCTTTGGATGTATCTGCCACAGTGAGGTGCAAGATGACATCCTTTCTAGCCCTTGTAGCACTTGGTGTAACTACACGGAGACACTTTAAAAGCATTTGTGGCTTTAGGGTATCCTGGGGGATGTCCCTTCACTACTGGGTCAACCATCTGTGTCCCCCTAGACTGGCTGATGGATCTGGTTACTTTCCCTGTTCTGCAGGCTTTGGTGCCAGTTGAAGTGGAGGAGTTTACTAGTTCTTACTCCAGTCTGGATTTTGAGCAACTGTAAAATGTATCTTGTCTTCATCCCCATAACAAAAAAAAAAAAGGCTGAGGCAGGAGAGCTAGTAGTGACAGAATTAGTTGGAGTGTGCAGCAGTTCCACAGCAGTATCTGTCTTTTCAAAGCCATAACAGATGAAGTCAGGATGGTGGCAGATCCTTGGTGCAGTTTCCAGAATGTTGCTCCTGTGGCAATCATTTCAAACTACAAAGCTGAGCTTTATGAATGGGAAGGATCTGTGGCTTACTGCATTTAGATGTTAGTTTTAGGGAAGAGTTTTAAAACTTGGTTTTATTTCATTTGAAGATTTAAGCAGTGAACAAAAGTGTTTTTCAGTCAAGCATATTTTTCAAACTGAAACCTTTAAATATGTCTGCCTTTTCTCATTCTCTCCTGAGGGTGAGAGACTGAAAATACTGTTTTGCTTCCAGGCTCAGGGAGAGATGAGACATGTTGTTTACAGATGATTCGTGTTTCAAAGTAGTTGATAGATATGGGTTTTTGGCTCATTTAGTCACTGCTGTATTTCGTAGAAAGCTGTCCCCTGTAAACAATGACATGGATTTCATGGCTTAATGTTCTTATTTGTTATCCTCTAGCTGCTTGAAAGATGGTTGTGCATTCAGGCAGATACCCAGTGCTGCGGGAAGAGCTGAGAGAAGAAAGAAGCAGGAGGGCTGGAAGAAGCTTTGAGGCTGGGAGGAGCACAGAACAGTGTGGTCAGCTCTTGCACAGGGGTGGTGCATCGTTCAAATGAGAAATGGGTTTTAGTGGTTACCACTCACTTGCTTCTCTGCCTTCAGAAGGTGTGAAAACTGCCCTTGTCTACAGAAAACTCAAATATTATTCAGGAAAGTTCCTGCTCTAGTCCTGTAGGTCTCAGATAAACAATGGGAGGTAAGGCTGGGGACTGTTTGTAAATCTTTATATTGCCTACACTAAAAAAGAAACCTGTGTGAATGGAAAAATCTTTGGGTGGGAGGTTCAAAGATTTTTCTCTTAGGCTAATTAATTCTTACTCACAACATCAGCCTGTTGCCACATTGGGTACTGATAGGACTGCATAAGAGAGCAAGAGAAATTGCTTTAGTAATTTAGCAGGAAATTGGGTGTAATACTGTGCTTTTTTGTTATTATCATATGTTCTTCCCCTCATACTGAGTGCAAAGTGTCAAAAATCAAAGTTTGCCTGCTGTTCCAAGGGAAGGAAATCCCCTGAGGAGCCAGCATATTGGTGGGTGAAAATATCCTGCAGTAATGATATTACAGATGGGTGAGAAACTTCTGAGGCCTGTATATCATCACTGGTGACATATGTCTCAAAGAGCACAGTTTTATGTCTAAAAGGAAGTCAACTGATCTGATCAGGATAAAACAATTTCTTTTAAGCCTAATAAGTGAGTAAATTCTAGAAATGTGTGGTTTCAGAGATGCCAGATATTTAAGGACTATCTAAGGTGGTGACTTCAGTAGTCTCCAGCATCTACACCTTACATTAGAACAAACCCACAACATATAAAGAAGCTCAGTGAAAAGAACAAATACACTTGAATTGTCTCCTTCAATAGCACTTGTCCTGTTCACGTGGCAATTCCCATATGTTTTGCAGCTCAGGTTTGCTTTCCCAGAGGAAAGTGAACCATTCCACAGATGATCCAGAAAACATGAAAAATAAAAATAAATAAATCTTAGCTCACAGATCTAACCAGTGCCATTCTGTGATCGGTGTGTCTTCTGTTTAGTACAGCCAGCATCTCAGCCTCACCCCCTCCTTTTGTTTTGATGTCCTACCCATTCAGACCCTGACTTTTAACCAATTCATGGCCTTTTTTTTTTATTTAATTATTTCTGAGCAGGTGATAACTAGATGAAGCTCTTTGTTGTCTCAGGGCAGGGCACAAACCAAGTTTCGTGGGTGTGAGTGCAAGACAATGTCTTTTTTTTCTTTATCAATATGGGTAAGACATTCATGCTTTGCCTCTGTGCTGTATTTGCTGCCATCAGCTGTGAGTCAGCAATCTACAAATGGTTTAAATCTTCTGAATCTTTCCTTGAAGAGGTGCAACCAAGAAGTAGAAATGGAAACAGTGTCATCTGTGTTGGTTTGGCCAGCACACAACTGGCCTTTGGCTGGATGGGTTAGAAAACAGCAAATGCCAACACTGTACAAGGAATACATATTTCTCTCTCACCATGCTCCCTACACGATGATGGCTTTGGGTTTTGACAGGACCAAAGTGGATTAAAAGATTGAATCCTAGCAAAATGTAACTGTTATTGAATTCCCACCTCTGCTGTGGAACTGCTTATATGTGCTGCTCCTTTGTAATTTTTGGTTAGTTGTAATATTGTTTCATCACGGCGGATTCTGCAATTATAAGCTGTTAGTGTTGCCTTTCCCTTCTGTCTAGATTCCAACAGTGCTGAGCACCATTAAGTTTAGTGTGGCAGTTTATCTCCACAGTTCACTCTGTGTAAGTCAAGCTTGTCCTCTGCTCCATGTGGTGGTTTGCCATCGACTGTCAGACAGAGCTTAGATCCCAAGCCATTGCAGGAATGTGTGGGGTTGTCCAAGCAGAGGGAGGAAAACCTCGACCCACCCAAGAGCAGCACTCAGCTGATGTGCAAAACAAAACTGCCACAGCAGCACAAAGATTGTAGAGCCAAACTCTGCAGCATAATCTTGGGTGTGCCAGCTTGGCAAACGGGAAATGAGAGGGATGGTGGGAGGCTCTTCCCAGAGAGCATCCTTCTCTCAGTAGGCTTTTACAGGAGGACAGGGGAGGCTGAGAAAGCCTCGTGTACCCACACATACCCCAATATTGATTTACCTTGTGCTCTTTCATCCGCTCTCATTACTAAAAGGAGGAAGGTAGCAAAACTTTGAACATTGTTTTTAGTGAAGCAGATTGGTTAACCTATTAAAAGTAGCCGAGAGGCTTCAGAAGATGTTAATGCTTCTTTAAAAAATAAATGGGAGCTATGTCATTTAATAACAAACACTTCTTGTGAATAGAAAATTGGAAGATAGTTATTGTAAATTACTTTCTGTTTTATATTATTAAAATTGCAATAGAGTGAAAGTGATCAGACACTATATATTGTATATTTTAACGGTTAACACAGTAATTCTTTTTCTTTTCTAGAGACACTTTATTTTGACAGATATTGAAATATCGTACTTTTTACAGTTAATTGCATTTTGAACTGCTGCCATTGTAATACAAGTTTTAATATTTGCTAGTGTTGTGTATTCTGGGCTTTTGTTATTTCGTTGTTTGTTTTCTTCTGGGAAAAAAGCTGGAATAAAAAGCCTCAGCTGGAATCAAATTATTCTAGCTTACACTTTTATTGCAAGTTTTTAGTTCTCATAGTTGTAATTTGCATTAAAACTTAGCTCTAGATGTTATGTTACTTATCTCTTGCAGAGGTTATTATTGCTTAAACACTTTGTGATTGCAGGATTTACTTCAAATTTTAGGATTTATTGAATTGTACTTTCTTGCCTTGTTTGACTCAAGTGTAATAGTTTGGTTAGATAACAGCAAATGGTCCCCTTCTCACTTTTTCTGTAAGATACAAAT